CTATGACCCCCCACCTCTCCCAACCCCCCCATTCGCCCATTTCCCTTTTTCACGTTTTCAGTTCGTGGCGCGCCGTCCCACGAATGAAATGAGTTACAAGATTGCGGTTATAAGCGCTTTGCGCCTGGCGCCACAACGAGTCGGGGGAATAAACTTTTTACTCTCGGCTTCCTTTTTTTACAAGCGATATGTTTTTAATGCGCTGTTTACACATGGACACAGGCATCCCTGCTGTCGTTGTTTTTCCATTGAAAGAGCATGGAAGAGGTTTTTCATTAGAAACTATTGCATTTCAGACACATGACATTGCAAAAACACAGGCATAAGTAACATTGCAAACGTCTCATTGGATATGTTAATGAGGGCAACACTTTTCAAACTTAAATTACATATAGTAGTTCAGATTCGATTTCGAGACGAAAAATAGTTTCACAAGGCTGTTACACTTGTGGGAACAGCAGCACTGCAATGCAGGCATTGTCATTAACATAAAATACGAAGTTGTGTTAAGCGTATTTTGGCTACGCTTTTCTTCCCTGGTAATCAGACTCCCCTATTCTTCCTCCTCTTCCTCCTCAAAGTCTCCCTCCTCCTCAGCGGTGGCCTCTTGGTACTGCTGGTACTCGGAGATGAGGTCGTTCATGTTGGACTCGGCCTCAGTGAACTCCATCTCATCCATACCCTCTCCAGTGTACCAGTGCAAGAAGGCTTTCCTCCTAAAACAAAAAACAAAAAAAAAATTAATTTGATGGTCTGTTTTTAAAGAAAGATTTAGAAATGCTCGTGCCGCATATACCTGAACATGGCGGTGAACTGCTCTGACACGCGCTTGAACAGCTCCTGGATGGCTGTGGTGTTTCCCACGAAGGTGGCCGACATCTTTAGACCTCGGGGCGGGATGTCGCACACGGCCACCTTCATGTTGTTCGGGATCCACTCGACAAAGTAGCTGCTGTTCTTGGTCTGGACGTTGAGCATCTGCTCGTCCACCTCCTTCATGGACATGCGGCCCCGGAACATGGCGGCGACGGTGAGGTAGCGCCCGTGCCGCGGGTCCACGGCCGTCATCATGTTCTTGGCGTCGAACATCTGCTGGGTGAGCTCGGGCACGGTGAGCGCGCGGTACTGCTGGCTGCCCCGGGACGTCAGCGGCACGAAGCCGGGCATGAAGAAGTGCAACCTGCAACAAACAAAAATTTAACAATTTCTTTTCTAAAAATGTATTTTTGTTTTG